GTTGAAGAGAACTCATATCTGGTTACGATATCTTGAGTACTGTGTGGGCGCATGTCGCCAGTTGCTGTACCGCTGTTTGCAGGCATGACAAAGTGACAGGAAGACGAGTTTGATTTCATTGTGAATTGCATGCATGATATTGATGATCTGTGCTTCTCGGACTGGTTCATTGCAACAATGTCCATATACATTAATTCCTGCAATCCACCACCACATAGCCCATGCGATGCGATGCTCACCTCAACGTTGACTGCACGATCGACTCGTAGGTCTGCTTTGTTGCCAACAAGTGCCATGACAATCCCAGGAGACCCATGCTTTTGAAGTTCCTGAAAGCCAAGAAAGTTGAAGAAACCAATCAGCCGGCCAACAAAAATGGCAAAATCGCTCTATTACCACCACCGATGAGAAGTTCAGCCATGGACCAGTACTTCCCGGCGATTTTCAACGTGCTTCCCGATCAAAGCATCCACTTGGTGGATCAAAGCATCTGCACTAAGCCACTTAATATTATGGATATTCATAATCTGGTGCATTCTCTTAATCCCCTCGTTTTGGTCTTTAAAGTTTAAACCTAGCTGTTGATTCCTCGATGAATTAGTCTAGGGGTTTGCTAGTGTCATACAAATTTAATCGATCTTTGAAGTTGTTCTCTGCTACTTGCTGCATCACCCATGATTTCACATCATCCTTCATTACAACGCACACATAGCTTACGTGGCAGCCTGCTCTCATCTGCTCCATGAAGATGATAGCCCGTATTTTTGCAATCCATGCATCTAAATCCTCGTTCGTTTTATCATGATGTGCGTCAGGGAACTTCATTTACATTGGCAAAGGTCTTCGCTGGCCTCGTAACGGGGTTCCTCCCTCAACTTTTTTCTTCCTCGCTGCTGTTTTTCTTCTCCTCTTCACCGCTCTCTACTCTGCTTCTCACTACTTTCTTTCTTTGCAAACTTATGAGTTCATCTTCGGGGGGTTCCCGCACTCTCCCTTCGAACTAGTCATTCCAAGTCATCAGGCTGTCCATCAGATCACTAAATTTTTTATTCACTTGAATCCTATCTTTCTCCCGCATCTGCAACATATTCTCCAAGTTCTTCCACAACTCCTGCCGTCTGCCTCTCCTTGCTGTTTCTCTCAGACGGTCATTTACGTTCGCGATCGAGGGCCCACTTCCAATTGCCACGGGCGGTGTCTCACCATTGAAAGAGTGTCCTTTCTCTCCTCTTTTCTTCTTGTCGATTCTCGTTCTTCATCCCTCTTCTCCACCATCACTGCCTCTCCCTCCCCAATCTTTCGTGGTTCTTCATACCCTTCACCCTCTGGTTCAAAAGTCTGGCTACCATTACGATGGTCGATCACTGGAACATATACACTACTACAGAATCCCAGGGGCAAGAAGAAATGGAGAAGTGGTTGGACAAGTACAGAAAAAGCCAGAACACAATGCATGGGGTTGTCATCCACCTTGGAGAATCCGTACGACAGTCAGTCTGTATAAACACCGTTCCACAACTTCGTTTAACATACCCCCTTGAATGGACTTCTATGCCCGCTGACGCTAACTCGCGTGATTCTGGACCCACAATCTAAACTTAGCTGACATCTAGTTCTGCGACTGCCTCACTCAACAGACTCTTCTACAGGGATAAGTTTTGACAACTATGTTGGGCAACCGGCATTTTAAACCACCACTACCTTTCAGGTTGGGGAGCTAAGTCATAAATATAAACTATACTGTATTCAATGGAGGCCAACAGAGGCCGGATGCCAAAACAAAACGAAATAGGCTGCACTGGCGCTTCGGTCAAAGCTTGGCACGCAGTTCGACTACGCCTCGGCAAAAAAAGGCCAAGTAGGTGGTGATTTAACGACAGCCTGCAAAATCCTCAAGAATTGTTTAAGGTCGCTGACGGGATGACATGGCCAAGTAGTATCTCCACCTCTCTGTGTCAACACTTGTATGCACACAGTTAGCTCGCACACCGGTCAGTACCGGTCCTTGCCAGTCCTTGGGCTAGATGGGTGTTTACCAAGCATCCGCCGCTCAATGCCTGTGCTTGCTACTTTATGTGATTGTCAGTTGCATGCTAGCCCCTCATCACTTAAAGACGTTGGGCAATGCTTGTATCCAAGTGGTTCACTCACACACCGATTACTCCACGTCCCTGGGCTACATGGGGTCTTGTTGGTCTCAAGCTGGCCCCCTAAACCTCCTACCAATTTAGGACCTACTTGATGGCAACAGAAAGACAACTCCTGCAGCTCAATGCTGGGAAAGATCGACGAAACAGAGAATCAATGTCATGCAAGGCTTGGGGTGTCAAGTACCTCACCTCCAAGCTTCCCAAGACTCCTTGTTTCCTGCTGATGCCATCAAAATCGCCTGATCAAAGTTCTGTTATGTACCCGGTTGAACTTCCATCCACAATGGATTCACACGTTCCCATACACGCATGCAATTACAGAGTAGACTCGGAGGAGGAAAATCCACACAAAGCCAGAGAGAGGATATGCACAGCGGAAGCTCGAAATACACAGAGAATTGAAAAACGAAATTCAATTCTGTAATCCCCCGTCCTCCTCCAATCAATCCAAAGTACTTGTTCCAATATCACAACTGCGTTTACAACAACCCCGAACAACCCAAAACAAGTGTTCAACGAAGTCTGCAGGAGTCTTTTTCTTCCTCCTCGCCACCTCATACCCCTGGCTATGACTGCCGTATCAGCAGTAACCCCACAGCTGTCACAACCTGCCAGTCTGAACCAACAACCCCAATAATGCACCGCCAGCTCAGCGCCTGCACGGCAGTGCAGCGCTGGAAGTCCTGATGAAGCAGGAGACAACCAATCCAGTACTTCGAAGAAGACAAAAACGAAGTTCCTCCTGAGGAGGAACAGCAGATATGGCTGCCAAGTGAAGAAAGGCAGCGCCCAAACCCACCAACACAGTCCTGTGCAAGCTCTCGTGCAGAGCTGCTAAATAGCAGCAGTGCAATCTCCAACTTCGTGCCTGTAGCACTGCAATTCATTTCAGTTCAATCTTCTTGTTGCCCGCTGATGCCATCAAGATTGCCTGATGAAGTTGAATCTTCGCAGCAAATAGGTGCTCTTAGCCCCTTTTTCACCTTTTCCAACTCTCGTGGACCCCTAGCCAAACCCCAGATCCTTTTTTTTGTTTTGCTCGTTCAGAGAATCAATGTCATGCAAGGCTTGGGGTGTCAAGTACCTCACCTCCAAGCTCCCCAAGACTTCCTGTTGCCCGCTGATGCCATCAAGGTCGCCTGATCAAAGTCAATCTTCTTGTTGCCCGCTGATGCCATCAAGATTGCCTGATCAAGTTCAATCTTCGCTGCAAGTAGGTGCTCTTAGCCCCTTTTTCACCTTTTCCAACTCTCGTGGACCCCCAGCCAAACCCCAGATCCTTTTTTTTTTTGCTCGTTCACTGCTCCGCCCTCTCTTGCTCATCAGGCTTTCTCCACAGGCTTTTCTCTACTTCTCACTGCACCTTTCCTCCACCGTGCACGCTGCAGCGACTTTTTTTTCGGTTATACTCTGTCGCCAACTTTCTCACCTGCCGGTTGGCTTCCAAGCACGCTGGCCTTTTGCCTTCCACGCTGCACCTTGCTCCTCTTTACCAGTCACCCCACGCTTGAGGGCAGATCACACTTGATCCCTCATGGACTCGAACTCGGGTCTATATTTCAACAGCTCACGGGTGCGCCAACTTAACCAAAACCCATTTGTCACAACCCTACCCGGGGCTTACTCACGCTAGCGGTTCCTGAATGAATTTGCCCACAACTATGCCCCGGATGCATCTGACTGCAATCCCCTCCTGGGCTCTGTCGAAGAAGTCCCGTGTGAGTGTCATAACATAACACACCATGCCTCATTTCTTTCTGTTTTTTTTTTTATTGCTGGCTCACCACTTCTTGCGTGCCGGCCTTTTCACATGCGAGCCACCTTTGCAATTATGCTGGTCCCCCACTCTTCACTCACACGCATGCATACAGACATCTCAATCACACACACACACACACACACAAATCATCACTCACACACACACACACAAATCATCACACACACACTGCCTATCCTCATGCATGCACCCTTACTCACACTGCACTCTACCTTGCGCGCACACTCCTCCAAGCTTATGCTCGTCTTCTGCTGCTGTGCACCCTCTCACAAGTGGTTAACGGGGTCCCAGAACTGAAATTGGGGTTCAAGCGTCAAATTTGTCTTTCGGAGCTTTGGAATTTCCTCTGCTGACATTTCTAAAATGTGAGATTTCTTAAAAATTGTGAAATTGTAGTGCTGGCGAAATTTGTATGAAAGTGCACTTTTGCGTTGCAGTTGTAAAGTTATTTTCTTTTTGTTTATTTTCTATTTGTGCTCTGTTAATATGGTGTCCACTCTATGAATTGGTGGCAAGTTTGGTCAAAATGGCCTTTGGGTTATGTTACAAATGGTGTGACAAATTGTCTGAAAATTTAGGCCTACATTAACCATCTCTCCCCCATTATGGCCGGGAGGCCCAAGTGGGCGGCATTGATTGCTTCCTTGTGGAAGGATGTACCCCCTCTCGCCCCTGCTTAAGTTAGCCTGTGCTACTTAATCTGGAAGGTCCTTGCTAATTCCACTGGCCACAGTCCTGCTCCTCTCAGCTGCAATGCTGTCAGGTCTGTGTATTATGCCAGAGCAGTCATGGACACTTTGTGGATTTCTTGAAAACCTCAATCTTTAACCCTATTTGTCTTGAATCGGTCCTAACCCTCAATCCTTTGTCCATCTAGCCTTGGTTTTACTTCCTCAAGGAAGGATGTACCACCCTGTACCCCTGTCTAAGCTATCCTGTATTATTTAAAAATTGCTTTATACTGCTAGTCTGAAAAATCCTGACTTTTCGGACCTGTAAATCCGCTCCTTAGAGCTGAGCCTACCTGTTCCTCTCTGCGTCTTAGCTGTCTGTTTTGCTTCCCTTTGCTGGCACTACTAGCTCGGTGTAGTGCTATGACCTTGCTAAAATCCTAAGCCCTGTCCTATTGGTTGCTGAATGCTCTACTAAAGCCTTCGCTCCTACTTGACTTTTCCTCGCTCCTCTGGGGGTTTTCTGACTTTTCTGCTAAGACCTTGGATTCTTGCCTTCTCTTTTTTTTTTTTTTTTTTTTTTTTTTTTTNTTTTTTTTTTTTTAGCATGAATAACTAGAAAGGTCTTAGAAGATTCCACCACTAACTCCTCTGTTACGTATCTGAAAGACGCCACATGACCCTTTGGAATCTCTGCCATTCTGATCTCCGCTTACCTTGACTTTGTGTAA